TTAAAAGGTTTAGTAGGATTCGGAACTTGCAATATCGTAAATTCGGAAAGACGTTGTTTGAGTTGTCGGACTGCTTTACTGTGCTCTTCCGTCCAGACAAAGGGTGCGTTCCTGCGCGTAAGTTCGATTAGGGGCCGGGCGAGATCCGCGTATCTCGGCCCCATGAACATTCTACAGTAGTTCACTGTGCCCAGGAATTGACGCACCTGCGTCTCGTTGGCTAGGGTTTCCGGCCACTGCTGGATTGCCTCGACTTTGTCCGCTGCCGGTTTAATTCCGTCATTGCCTATAGTATAACCTAAGTATGTTAATTCCCGTTTGGCGAACCTGCATTTGATAAACTTTGGGTAGAATTGGTGCTTGAGGAAAATATCGAGGACTTGCCGTAATATCTGGGTGTGCTCCTCCAGCGTTTTACTGTATATCAACACATCGTCTATATACGCAATGACCCCGTGTCCAAGAAGTGGTTGTAGGTAGGCATTGATATTTGCTTGGAAGGTGGCTGGCGCCCCCTTTAAGCCAAACGGCATCACCTTGTATTCGAATAGGCCCTGTATAGATCGGAACGCGGTTTTCCAGCGATCCTCCCGCGCCATTCGAATCTGATGAAAGCCCGCTTCGAGATCTAAAGTTGAGAAATAGGAGGCGCCGCCTATTAATTCCATTACCGTCTGTATACATGGCATGGGGAACTCTGTAGCGATTGTCAAGGAATTGAGTGCTTGGTAATTTACCACCATTCGCATCTTTCTTGTGCCCGAGCCGTCATCTCTTTTGTCTACCATTATTGTCGGCGCGCAAATTGGCGAATAGGTAGGTCCGATCCACCCCTTTGCGCAGAGCCGCTGAATCTCTTGTGAGTGATGAAGCATGTGATCTGGTGGCATTTTGTAAATGGGAGCCCTAGTGGGTAGCTTTCCTGGTATAAGGAGGATTCTATGGTCGAAGGGGCGTTTAGGTGGTAATCCGTTGGGAAGGCTATCGGGAAACAGCAGTCGATATTGTCTCAATAGATGAGCTACCGGTAGAGGTAATTCGCGGGCTTCTTCGCTCTCAATCCACTTATCAAACTCGGTAAATTCTAATCTGGCGTTGGGCCAAGGTGATTCTTCCGTGTCCTCCAGCTCGTTGTTGTCCCTCGGTCGGTTATCGTACCGCGTCCGGTCCCTTGTCTTTGCTGAGCATGCTAAAATAGTACACAACAATCGGCTTTGTCCCTCAGTTGGTTCGTGCTTGTCTAAGACGACTCCCGTTTCTGGTACCATGATGATGCAGTTCAGTCCTTCAGTCGCTCCTTTCATCACTTCCGTATTCTTCCTAGCGCGGTTAATGAGGTCCTTGATTTGAATACCCCGTTTCCGTCTAGTCTTCGTCTTATAGCGCTTGGGTGTGGGGCGTAAAAAGACTGCGGCTTCCTCAGCTGTCATTTGAGATATTTGGTGAGCGAGTGCTTCGTAGGCGC